CAAAGCACTCTTAAGTACTCTTACAGGAGACTCTTAAACCTTCCACAGTCCACGTACTTCATGCAGTGTCTGCCAAGGAACATTCTGGGACCTGATAACATATTGTTAGAGGTGAAGTTCTTGGGGAAAATAGTGCAGAAATCACAATTATTATTTTTCTTAGGTACCATCTGTGCAGTGCCAGTTACGTAAGTGTTGCCTTCACAGCATGGTCATAAGCCTTGGCAAATAACTCAATTTTCTCTCCTGGTCAGCTTAGGTTTAACTTCAACTGGAAACTTTCCCTCAACTTGTTAAGCAACTAAAGTAATTATATGGCAGTGCTATTAAAAAAACCCCTTCAAATGTATCTACTAAATTTCAATAAATAGCAGATTCACTGTTGCCCCACTTTAGCAGGTTAAAAATCTATACAAAGGGGAGAGCATTTTAAGTCAGGGAAACCTTGTTCTAAAGTGAGAAGAATTTGGTCTTCTTACCTGTGTGTGACACTCATGGTGCAAGTGGTGCTTCCTCTGTCTCCCTAGTATAAGGGTGCTCTAAGCTTGTTGTGAGGATCTCTTAACTTTGTCAAATAGACTTGGGTTGCTCTGGGTCCTTGAGCCTTGCCCTTCACTGTCATGAGCCGCACTGGGTTTGGGACTGCAAACTAGAGTTTTAAATAATTTCACATCACTGCATCCTACTTCTCCTGCCTTTTCTCCAAACAAAGCTAAAACAGAGCATGGTCTTATATACAAGAGAGGAATGGACCCTTAAAGGCATGGAGGTGCGGGCTGGTGATTTCCTACTATTACTTTCCTAGGCTCCTCCTAGCAGAGGAAAGGCTGAAACCTTGCAGTCTGTATGCTTCAGTGCTGCTCTCATTCTGCTGAGTTTCAGGATGTTGGTACACCCACAACTGAGAGTGGGGTAATATAGTTGTTTTTCACATTATTTTAGGAGAGTTTCCATGTTTAAAGTAGACTTTCAATTGTTTATTTCTTTTTTTTTTTTTTACTCCTTGCAGCTAAAATATATTTTTAAAAAAATTAAATGTTTAAACAATCTTAAAGTAATTGTAAAACATAATCCAATGTTGTAGAGTAGTTCATTTGAACTTCACTGTGTATGAAATATGATATTGGCATTAGCAAGTTTGTTAGGAAAAGGCAACCATTGAAGATATTCAAGTATCTCCTGTGACTTGGTGATATCTAAAGAATGCATTTGTCAGCTTGCCTTGCTTAATTAAATAAGGCTAGCTAAAGTATTAATAATAAAAAATAGAAAAGAATTATTGTGAGGTATGTGGGCAGATTTATAAAGTGACTTGTGATAAGTTGAGTCCCTAAGTTGACGTAACTGTTAATTATGCTTCTTTACTAAGCATCTTTGCAATGAGCAGAAGTCTGCATTATTTGTGTGTGTATGTATGTGTGTGTAATTGTATTAACATATCTAAAAATGTACCTACTCTCTTTATAACAGGACCATAGTCTCCCTGTCCGTTGTCTATACGATTGGGCAGGCAGTCATGTCTGTGAGCTCCATAAGCGACCTGACAGATCACAACTGGGATGGCGTTCCCGATAATCTATCAGTGCACATGTGAGTCACCTTGTAAATGTTGGGGTTTTTTTCCCCCAGGTTGATGAATGGTGGTGCAACTTACACTTTAAATTTAATATAATTGAATTTCAACTGTCTTGAAATCGGTCTCTTACTTACACTTCAAAAAAGAAAGCAAAATGACACGTTTTCTCCTTTTCCTCTTTTCTGCATTGTCTCAGTGCTCTGTCCATGATCGGCTTGATCCTCATTGCACTTGGTACTGGTGGGATCAAACCTTGCGTGTCAGCGTTTGGTGGAGATCAGTTTGAGGATGATCAGGTAAAAATGCTTTTCAGATTTTCAGTCATACAAATGCTGATGTTTGACTAATATAATCCTCTAATAATACACATATTTAAAGATGTGCGTTACTGTAGTGTTTCCCGAGTAGCTGAAGAAGGAGCCAGATAGCTATGTCTTGGAGTATGCAAACAGAGCTGCTGCTACTTCAGTCGAGGCTGGTCAATGAGATTCTGGCTCAGCCTTTCTAAACATCTGTTTGTTTTTACTGTAGGAAAAACAAAGAACCAGATTCTTCTCTATCTTTTATTTATCCATTAATGCTGGAAGTCTCATATCTACTATAATCACCCCAATTCTCAGAGGTAAGGCCGTACATTTGTTTATGAAGTAGTTAAGTGTCAGTAAAGGATGAGTGTTAGGCTGCAGTCTAGTTAAGTTTAAATGAACAGTCTGTTTTCTGACTCTTTGTGGAGTTACCTGGCAAATAGTCTTCAAATGTTCATGTATGTCATCCAGCTTCTCACAGGTGAGATACTGTCAAGAAAAATCTAGTCTGAGATCTGAGTTGTCTTTAGGATCAGAAGTACTAGATCTGAAGAGACATGCTGAAGCCACCAAATTGTATGCCTAATGCATGTTTTAATTCCATGGAGGTACAAATGTGGCACCTCCTCTTCCACTGCCTTTAAAACCATCACACAAAGAGTTTTACTGTTTGCTGGGAAAGGGGAAGAGAGCCTTGTACTCTGGAAGTAGAGGTTATTCTGAAGTGTGCCCATGCAAAGTAGAGAAGCATCTATGCCCATGGGAACACACTTATGCATGTGACAAGGTATATAATTTTTCATATCGTTAAAGGAGAAAGTTATTTTCTCTTCTGCTTATAATGGACAATGTGATCCTAAATACAAATCAAAAAATTCGCTTCTCCATATGCATATGGATTTTTGTGGCAAGCCGGCACAGATGGCGCTGTATGGATGTGCTGGGCAGGAGTTTGAGGAAGGCTGTTTTTCTCAAAAGGAAGAACCTCATGTGAATTCTGGAACAACCCTAAAGCACTGGGCTGAAATTCTGTCCTTTGGATTTCTTGACCGGAGCAGACTGCGTAGAAGCATTTCAGATGTTTGCTTAATGCAAATTCTATCCCTTCCCAAAAATGGAAGGAGATACGCATAAGGCACAATATGCATTTTACTTCCATGCTGACACAGTGTGCAAACTACCTTGGAAAAACAGACAAATGCAGCTGAGGAAAGCGATACTATTTTGCCCTGTAGAGGTTAAACAAAAAGTTTAATATGACTAAATTGAGACACTCATTAGCTGCAAGCTAGTTGGTTGAGTTTTGTTTGTGGTTTTTTTTTCTTTCCCAAATCAAACTCTCTAATGTTCCTGTTAGAAGCAGTAGGGGGAAAAAGATGATAGTTTTGTTTGGTCTTTTACTTTTCCCTGTTAGGAGCTATATCCACACTCTTGGCATCATTTCAGGATGTATGCATGAAGCTTATAAGGTCAAATCACTGACTACTGGGGAGGTGGGGGGTGGTGTTCGAGAATCTTTTCAACAAGCTACATTTATTATGAGAGTTGCATATTTATTTACGAACTTGTTTTTGTAATAGAATTCCTTTCTCACCAAGAACACGCATTTGACCATTCTAGTAGTATTCTTCACTTCTCAGTGTAAAACTAAGTGTAAATTTCCTTTGAGAAAGGGCTAAGAGAACTGGGACTGTTTACCCTGGAGAACAGGAGGCTTGGGGGGATTTCACAACCTATACAAATACTGGAAGGAAGGGTACAATAAGACACAGCCAGGCTCTGCTCGCTGGTGCCCAGTGACAGGACCAGAGGCAATGGGCACAATCTGAAACACAGGAGGTTCCATCTGAACATCAGGAAACACTTTCACTGTGAGCGTGACTGAGCACTGGCACAGGTTGCCCAGAGAGGTTGTGGAGCCTCCACTCTTGGTGATACTCAAAACCAGCCTGGACATGGGCCTGGGCAACCAGTTCCAGGTGGCCCTGCTTGAGCAGGAGGTTTGAACTGGTTGACCTCCAGAGGTCTCTCCCAACCTCAGCCAGCCTGTGATTATTTTTTTGTGATGCAAAAATGCAAAGAACAGAAACCCTCTGTAAAATACCAGCAGTGCTGACTGGGATTGTTATTTATTTAATGTTACTTTGTACTTCAGCTCAAACTTGTGGCGTTCATAGCAAACAGCGGTGTTACCCACTAGCTTTTGGAGTTCCTGCTGCCCTCATGGCTGTCTCCTTGGGTAAGTGGAACTGTTTCCATCTTGCTCCTTCAGTTATAGATGTGATCTTGGAATAATGAGAAAGTGGTAGATATCTCCAGGTATCAACCTCTACCAATACCCGATCATTTCTGCAGGTTTTGACTCTAAACTTTTTCTTGGATATGGGTGGGATTAACCTGAAGCACTTACTTTTACAGAAGAGACTGATTTACCAGGAGACACTGATGGGGCTGGGGAAAGGCCCAAATATACCATTGAATTATGTACATTAAGTAATTTACTGTCTCTACTTCTTGGACTACTGGGGTGTATAAACAAGATCTTTCTGAACCTAGTGTGAGAACTCTGAGAAAATGTGGTTTTCCAAAATTATCTGTAGTCCAGCACAGGAAATTGTAAAAGGTAATTGTCCCCGCGCCGGAAAAATGTCACACTGGTGTGTCAGGATTTCTCAAGTACCTGGATTTTTACTAGCTGTGCTATGGGTCACTCCCTGAGCCTTTCTGCAGCACCACAAGGACCAAGAAACTGGGGGGTGTCAGTATGTACCACAGTATCTACCCCTTGTGGTCCTGGTTCTTCACGGTTCTGAGCAGGTGCCCTCGTAGGGTGCACCTCCAGCTCCTGATGACCCCATCTTGCCCAATCCAGGGTGGATGGTGGCTGTGGGGGTTGGACTGTGTCCTGCCCTGCACATGGGAGGGTGAGGCTGGGGAACGTGCTGGGTGTGGGAGCTGAGGACACCTTGGTGAGTCCTGCAGATCAGGCAGAGCCTCACGTGTCCCTGTGTGACATGAGCTGTGGCATCCTGGACTCCTGAAAGGGAGCCCATAAAGCTGTCCTAATCTGGTACAGCAAGGCCAGAGCCAAGGTCCTAAGTGGTCCTTGCTTTGACAACACCTCAACTAAGTTAAGTCCCACTGAGGGCTTACCCTAAGAGTGTCCAGATTTAGTCCTTTGTCTATAAATAGAAGCAATCTGCTGGTGCTAATTTGATTTGTTTCACTGCATGATAACATGCCAATAGGCAATTTCCATTGCTTTTAAATCAGGGTTGGAAATAATCCTTAAACCCCTTGACTGTTATGATTTCCATACCAAATTATTTGACACTGTTTTCAATTAATTCTGAGTTGGTTTTGGTTTGTGTGTTGTAGTTGTGTTTGTAATTGGAAGTGGAATGTACAAGAAAGTTCAACCTCAAGGAAATGTAATGATTCAAGTTTTCAAATGCATTGGAGTAAGTACGACTTATATCATCCAAAACCCTGGCAACAATTTTTAAGACTGTTCTGTAGACTTGCCTACATCAGAAATCTCTCATAATATGAAGAAAGCTTCTTGAAGGTTTTTAATTTTTTTCCTTACAGAAGGCTGCTTATTGACAGATTTAGACTGCCTTTTTATTTATCTGTGTCTTGGTTTATATGTGAACTTATATGCAAATGAAACAAAGCAAGATATCAGTGGTATGTAAAAGCTTATCCCAACTTCTGGGAATCATTGCTTCCTCATTTGTGCACCTTTATACAGCCCTGTAGTAAGAGACAAACATGCCTTGACCTGACTCAACAGCAGAGCTACTAGTATAGCTTATCAGCAAAAATGTATTGCTTATGAAAAGAAAGTTATTTACAAGGTGGAGGTATGTTGATCCCCACTATATTAGGGAGGATGGCAAGGTTATGTGTCAGTGCAAGCTTACATGGAAGGGAGCTAAACCTGCATGTCCCAGCTTTGCAGTGCCTCAACTTTTCTCACTTATGGGCTTCTTCATTCTCTGTGCAAATCTGCCTTCTTGTTATCATTGCTTGTCTTGTAAGCACCATCAAACCTAAATCTCTATAGGTGATTTTGGCTGCTGCTTCGAGTGCCACCCTTAAGGCCCAGCTCAATCTCACGTGTTATTCCACGCAGAAAGTCTTAGGAGTTCTTCAGGACTATATTTGTGTATATCCCGTGTCAAAGTGCGAGGAGTATGTATCTAAAAGATGCAGTTTCTCACAGTGAAATGTACTCTCAAAACCATTCAGCTCTGAAAACATGTGCGTATGACCTCCTACTTATTGTTGTACGTAAGTAAGTCTGAAGTAGGCAGGTCTTCGAGTTCCTAACAGCAACCCACGTTGACAGATACTACTCTGAGCTGTTTGGTTCATCTAATCCCAGCTGCACATTCCACTGCATATGCAGTGTGAGGCCTAAAATGCAATATTCACTTTGATTCTTAGAGCAGTTAACAGAACTGAGTCACCTTTAGCACCCTCTGAACACTGGAAGCAGGAGTGTCACCCTTAATGATGAAACAGCTTACAGCACTTATAAACACTGGTAACATCATTAAACAAAATTCTGTCTCTCTGCAGTTTGCAATCCAAAACAGGTTCTGGCATCGCAGCAAGGAGTTCCCCAAGAGAGAGCACTGGCTAGACTGGGCGAGTGAGAAGTATGATGTAAGTATTGCACGAGCACTCCTGTGCCGTGACATTCCCTGAACCTCAGCTTCTCTTCTGTCTGGTCTGATCCATTGCAAATAGTTTTGAGCTTCTCTGTCATTTAGAAGCTAATAGTCTGGCCAAACCTTGGTGCTCCCCCGGGATTGTAGGTGATCGCCCCAGCTGCTGTGGGAGAAGGTAGAGCTGTGTTAGTTGACGCTCTCTGTGACCATTGGCTGCCCAGGGAAATCCAAGGGACATAAGAAGAGACTGTTTCCTTTGTTGAACAAATACAAGCACAAACCAATTTTTGAGTTGGTAAAATAGCAAGCATTATCCCTGCTGACTTTTTGTTTCTCCAGTAAACTGGCTTTAGATGAAAATATGCTGGTTTAATGACTTCAGAAGAGGAAAATGGGCATGGTGTTGATTATCGTGGTTAATGTGCAGGGCCATAACACTTGGTATCAAACCGTGAAATTATGCTTATGAATTTCAGATTAAATGGATAAACACTGCAACCCCCTGGCCTCAGTATAAGCTCCTTACCATGACTCTCACAGCCTTGTGTCCCACCATCCCCAGCCACAGCCCTTGCCTCCTATCCACCCTGCCCTGTAGTCAGTGGCAGCACAAACCTTAGCCTGTCCCCTTTATTTTCCTTTTGCCTATATATGTTTTTCATGTGTGAAATGCATTCCTCAGTCACCTGTTGTTCAGACACCTCTTGCCTAAATCAAATAACACAGCACCAAGTGCTGAATCTCCTGCTGCCATCAGTGCACATGCCAGGAGGCACAGGTCTCCAGCATCCATGTCACCTTTAACCAACAGCCCTTCCCACACCCATGGCAGACCTCGTGTCTTTTACAAGAGAGCATGATTACCCACAGTGTACAAAGTTTAGAACGTGGATAAGTATTACATGATATGTATGTACCTCTTTACCTGTTGCTGTGCTTCTAATAGCAGTTAGCAACTGTTGTCTCTTTTTGTTTTTTTGGGTTTTTTGGGTTTTTTTTTGACCAATTCCTCTTGTGTAATTCTCATTTGCTGCAGAAACGGCTGATTGCTCAGACTAAGATGGTGTTGAAGGTGCTTTTCCTTTACATCCCTCTCCCCATGTTCTGGGCACTTTTTGACCAGCAGGTAAAGGAGAAGTTGTTTGGCTTGGCAATTAGAGCTGTACCATGTCATTCTGTGTACTCTGAGATCATCAGACATAAAGGATGCCTGTGGAAGGGTGGAAAAGAATTATTGGCAAATTCTTTAACCTGGTTCTAATATGAAGGAGTAGTTATTGAATCATGTTAGTACAGAATGTTCTGCAGCCAGGGGAAACTCAGTTTATCTGGATATGCCCAGCACTGATGCAGTGACTGAGGCTTCTCCAAATCTTCTATCAGCCAGGACTCAGACAATGAAGCAGTAATTTAAAGCTTTCTTAGTTCTAATGTTTCTTCCACTATCAGCTATGAGGTGAAATCTACAGTCCTAGTGTAAATGCTCTGGAGAATCAGGGCTGAAATGAGTTGGATGCCAGTTTGCTTTATCACTCAAATATGTTATAAATACTTTCCACCTTCAAGCAGAAGTACAAGCCTCTAATTCCCATTCACTTGCTGGACTGAATGCTGAAGACCCATGAAAGTAGGATTTCATATTTAAGTATTGAAGTATGAATTTAGGAAGGTGTTCTCGGAGAGAAAAAGGGGCTGAGAGTTTTATTGAAGGCAGACTGTATGGAAGTTTGATCCAGACTGCCTAGATTGTGCTGCTTTAGTCTAGTACCAGTGAGCTGTAACTACCCATGTGACCTATTACAAAAAGGCAACCGTGCTATGGAATTCAGAGAAATACATGAGTAATAACTTACATCTCTCAGTGGTACATTGTGGGTGGTTAAATGCTCTTGCCACAGATGCAGCGATGAATGTTCCTGTCTCCCCCTGGGCTCAAGCTGAAAGTCAGCTTTGCTTGACCTGGCTATAGGCAGGTTTTCTGGTCAGAAGGCCCAGGGCAGGTCCAGCCCTGGCTTGGTGTCTCACTGCTGGGCTGCGTGAAGAAAGGATGGACATGTCAGTAGCATGGGGTGCTCAGGCAGCTGGTACAAAGGCAGTCGGATGATTTCTGCGCACAGCACATGGCAGGGTTTGGTGTAGGATGTCATTTCAGTCTTTCCAGCTGATCACTCCATTTCATGAAACCAGTAACTAAAATGAAATAGGCCCCAAGGATCACTTTATTCAGCTAGTTCCACTGCAGAATAAGAATACTGCTGTAGCAAGGTACCTTTGGGTTTGGTTTTTTGGTTTTTTGTTAATTTTATTGCATGTCTTTCCCAACACTTTAGTAATGAAATCATTCAAGAGGAACTTTTCAAGGTTGATTTACTGTGGCATTTAACTTTGTTACCTTTTGTTAGGGGTCAAGATGGACACTGCAAGCCACAACGATGGATGGGAATTTTGTAGGTTACTTTTATTACTTTTTTTCCTTAATATTTACATTTCAGATCAGGGTTTTTTTTTTTGGTCATAATATTAAAACCTATTTATTTTTTCTTCATCAGGGATCTGTTCAGATTCAGCCAGACCAAATGCAGGTACAGCAATCTTCTGTCTGCCAATTCTAAATACTTCCCAAAGATTATATATTTTTAATTGCCCTGAATTTAGAAAGGGACTTTGAAAAGTACTTAATTTTTTTCCCTTCTCGTGTTCATCTTCAACAGACTGTGAATCCAATCCTGATTATAATAATGGTCCCAGTTATGGATGCTGTGGTTTATCCTTTAATCAAGAAATGCAAGATCAGTTTTACGTAAGTTGATGTACTTACCTGACTTCAACAGAGGCTCATCTTAGTGGTTTCTTTAAAACTGCTCTTCCAGCCCTAATGTTACAAGAGTAAGCGTTCAGCTAAGGTGTATATAAAGTGGTGTTAATGTATTGAAGAAATGAAAATTGAAAGAGATAGAAGTGGTACGTACAGGCACCAGAGACTAGAGGGAGAGAATCTAATAGTAAAGTAACATTATTTTTCAGTTAAGGGCAAAATCTTTTGGTTGCAAGAGAGACACTGTTTAGTTTTCCACTTCCCCCACATCTACCCCCCTCTCTCTGCCAAACTACAAGAAGTAGAAATGCAACACACATCCTTAGTGCGTGTCATGTCTCAGGTAGTTTTAAGTCCAAAAGAAGATGTTTTGTCTTCAGTCCTAGTGAGGAGTCTGGCTCACTGGGTACTTCTAAGTACAACTTTAAGGGCATGGCACATTATTTCTAATATTGGTCATGAAATTGCAAGTGAGGGAGGCAGAGGAGAAGACAGTTCTTAAAACAATTTTTATAGAGCTAAGATGTAATGCTGTTTGTTCATTTAATTACAAAAAATTTAGGGGAGGTGGTGTGCTGGAAATGCTGTCATTCATTTGTGGACACTCTACACCTGAAAAATGATGCCCTAAATAAACTATCTACCTTGAACTTACCCTTACAGCTTACCTGAATGTCAGAGTTCTCCTAATTCAACATTTCCCTGACTTCTTTTGCTCAGTATTTTAATTTAAGCGTATTAATATAGACACAAGTTGCTACCCTTTTTTTAAAAAGGCGTAACTTCTTGCCTTTGTTTTAAAACTAGCAAATGTATTGGATTGGGTTTCTTCTTTCTGCAGTTCAGACTTTTCCAGAAACCTAGTAATTATTAATTATGTTCAGTCAATGTTTCAGCCCAGCAAATGCAGAGTAACACATTATTAAGATGCTGCTGGAAAGATGTATTTCCTGGTAGCGTAACTATGAATTGAGAGGTACCCAGCTTAGCAGAACACTTTCTGTAACAACATCAGCCCTTCAAATGGTGATAATGTGCTGGTTGTGGCCATTAGTTTCCCACTGTGGGAGGAAAAAAAAAAAACCTGCTGAGGCTTTGAATTAATATGTCTTAAAACTCATGTATGTGTTTTGTTATACTAGGCCCCTGAGGAAGATCACTGTTGGTATGTTCCTTGCATCTTTGGCTTTTGTTGCTGCCGCTCTTGTGCAAGTGCAAATAGATGTAAGTTCAGCCATATGCAAGTTATTTACTACTAATATTTAGTTGTTAATACAGAAAGAAGTGTGTTTAAAGCAAACTGAGCCAAGACTCCACAATTCAGAACCAAGCACATGAGCAGAGAAGTAGAAAGAGAGAAAATATTAAAGTATATTGCAGTATGTGACTAGCATAATAAAACTAACTAGCTATGAACACTGTCCTGCAAAATATCTCATCTGCCATTAGTATAAATCATGCATTAAAGGCAATCTCGGGTCTTTAAACTGAGACTAAAAGCTGAAAACCAGAGAATTGCTTGGCCTGCCAGGGCGCTGCTTTGTATCTCTAATTCTTCTGACGTTTAGACTGGTGGTGAAGTGTGATAGTCTGGAAAGCATCAGCACAGCACAGGTGAAGATGATACCTATTGAAGGCAGGATTCATCATATTTAACTTTCCTTGCTGCAAAGAGAGGTGTCACGGCTGAACCAGATGAAGGTTTCCCCTGTAGCTGGGGCATTGACACCACCTTTGAGAGGTGATCTATTGCATTCCAAGATCCAAATGGCTAGCTAGAAATGCCTGCCTGTCCTCATGCATTACCAAGGCAAGATGTTCAACTCTTAAATAACTTCAGTTAGGAATGAGGAGTTTTCTCCATAATGCCTGGGTCCAGCAGCAAAACAAGCTTTATATTCAACTCTTCCTCTTGAAGTTGGAAGTAAAGGGTCTGGCCTCCAACTGGCATCAATACATCCAGGCTGTCTTCCTTAAAACCCTGTTCAGAAGGCCAGAGCTGTGCACACACGTGTACTGGTATTGGGCAGAATCTTCATCAAAGCTGGTAACTCCCTACCATTGCACAACAATCTCCTGCAGAAAGGTAAAGATGGACCTGTTATGGTCGTGTGATGTACCTAAAGAGACTGGAACACACAAAAGTATGGGAAGGAGGAAAAGTTGAGACACAACTCTTGCAGCTCTTGATGCTCTGCATGAGCAGAAACTATTTACTCTCAGATCTGGTGGGAAGTGGAACCTCCAGAAGTTCAGTTTCTCTGGGCTATTGCTCCAGGCAGTGCCCATACATGCTTCTGTCTCATTCAGCAGCACGAGGGCTGGGGGAAAATGAGTTGGAACATGGTACAAAGAAATTCAGGAACTCGGGCAGTCATAGGATGTGGGAAAAGCCCATTCCTTGAACAGCAGAGTGGCCTGGTAGCAGCAGCAGGCTGCAGGACGTGATTAAATAGGAACCACTTCTGGCCATGAAGGCATTATTGCGGATGAGAGAATTTTTTCCTGAAGCAGCCATAAGGCAGCTTGAGACCAGTAACAAATCCCATTATTGAAGTTGCATCCCTCTGACAATCACAGATAATCAGGCGAATGCTTATCTGCATCATGAGATAATTGGGAGCACAGTCATTGTAGTACTTTTTTCTATGTGACTTTGGATGCAGCACTGATGTTACTTTCTTTCTGTCCTACAGAAAACTCTTCCAGTTTTCCCTGCAGCTGGGCAATCTCAAATCAAAGTAATAAATCTGGGTACAGACAATGTAATAGTTCAGTTTGAGCCTCAACTTTGGAATGTGACTGTCACGTCTATGGAGTCGGTAAGTAAGGGGAGATGGTGAATAGCAAGTTTAAAAAAAAAAAAAACCCCGAACAACTGAATAAGTCAAAGTTGTTCTTAAGTAATAGTTCAAAGTTGATTATTTTCTAGTGAGTTTTCATCTACTGATTTTAAAGATTTTTTTTTTTTATTTTATTGTGTAATTATTACTGAAAACAGCGGATGAAGAAATTGTAACTATATCATTATTCTAAGCAGTACTTGGCAAGAGGCTTTTTTCCAAGAAACTTAATAGTGATTTTGAAATAACAGAAAATTTCACTCTTGCTAAAAAGGTGCCATCTTTTTTAAAAGCAATAACACCCCTTTCTTCAATGAAAGTCCATTCAGCTCTAGTAAATCACTGCTTCTACTGTGAGTGACCACTTACTTGAACAGGGAGGCTTTCTGTGGCTGTGTTATATAGATTAAGCTTCAGATTTTGCTGTCAAAGAACCTTTCCAGGTTCTATTGGCAGCAGGTTAGTATTATTCCAGGTTCTATTCACAGCAAAATGTGATGGAGCTGATGCACATTATTAAAAATGGATGTTAGGAAGGGTGTTCTCTGATAGCCTACAGTCCTGTTTCCATGTAAGAAGAGAAAGCCTATTTCATCCTCTTCCAAATTTGCCTCACATAGAAACTGAGCTGTGAGGAGAAGATAAGGGCACCCAAAATGTATGCTGATGTGGAATAGATATAACCATGATGCATCACTGAAAAGGCTGTGAAATGCTCCACTCCCTACTATAGATATCTCTAGTTTAACCCCAGCCAGCTACTAAGCACCATGCAAGATGCTCGCTCACTGCCTCTACCCCTCCACTATGGGATGGGGAGGTGAATTAGAAAAAAGCTAAAACCTGTGGGTTGAGAGAACAACAGCTTAATAATTGAAATAAAATAATAATAATTGTAATTGAAAAGAGAGATGACAAAGAGATAAATAGAACCCAAGAAGAAATGATGCACAATACCACTGCTCACCACCTGCTGTCTGATACCCAGCCCATCCCCAAGCAGTGATTGCTCCCTTCCTGGTAGCTCCCCTGGTTTCTATACTGGGCATGACATGCTGTGGTATGGAATACCCCTTCGGCTAGGTTGGGGCATGTGTCCTATCCAATGAGAGTCTGAAAAGTCCTTGGTCAGAGTAAGTGCTACTTAGTGACAACTAAAACATCCATGTGTTATCAGCATAGTTCTCAGACTAAAGCCAAAACTCAGCTACTAGGAAGAAAATTAACTTAGTATCTCATCTGGACAGGCCAATGTTTTATAATCCAAATGTTTTGGATTATAAAATGCTTCATATAATCCTATTTTTTAAAAGGCTTATTTTAGTACTGAAGTAACATGCTTATTAATGTTTTAAGTGTTTTATGCTGACCTATTATGTTCAAAACCATAAAGACAGAGCTTGCATTTGCATCTCTTAGGAGGTGTTGCTATTTGGAAAATGCTGCATCATAACTCATACTACTGCTGCCTCTGTAGCTAAACAGAATTTTACTTAATGGTAAGCCTGATTTATCTGAAACAAAAAACACACAGGAAAATCTAATAGCTATTCCATAATGCTTGTGGGAAGCTCATATTACTTTGGAGCTTGTATGGTGAAAGACATCAATAAAAGAAAATAATGATCAAACGAAATCAGTGCTTGATGTAGAAAACGTAACAAAAATGAAAGTTAGGAGATGCTCACTATCTCTGGTGTTTCAGAAGTAACACACATGTAAACTTCTGATGCCCTAGAGTCTGTAACTCTCCCTCAAAAGTGTAGTCAAATATTCAGTTGTTTGGAAATTCATAGCAAGTCATTTGTCTTTGTAGACTGGCTACATGACATTTGAGACTTCTCAGTTGCAATCAGTAAGCATAACTTCTGGAAACAAAAATAGAACTGAAATTGTCAAGTTGCCAGGGCAAAATCGTCACACGCTTGGAATCAAAACTACTGAGACAGAAGTCGTTACTAAATGGGTAAGTCTGCTTAATTCCCAAGATAGACATTAATGTCTTAATAGCTTTCTATGGGGAATGTGTGAAGCTGGGAGGACAAGCTCTGGCTAGCTTTTCCCTTTGTCTTGCTTTCTATCTCTCCCCTCCTCTGTTGTACCAGTGAGACTGGTGAGCTGTAGAGAGCAGGACAAGATGTTTTTTATATTAAAAAAAAAAAAAAAGTTTAAAAATGACCAACTTAAATATTTCACTTGATGATTACTCTTCTTTCACTGAGACTTAAATGTGTGGTCATATAGTGTTCTCTAGTAGATATGTATCCTAGTAGGATTCTAAAAGGAGGTCTGCAGTCTTGCTCTGAAGCCTCTATTAATTTTCACTGCTATGTAATTGTGCATGTTTAAGCTGTTCACTAATGCCAACGAAGCATCTTGATAATGGTGTCTTCCACCAGCTGTTTGACAATGTCACATCAAAACCAGAAGAAGGAAATAATCTCATCAGGTAGAGTTTGTTTTGCTCTTAAATTTTGGCAATAGTGTGACTGTCTCTTCAGTGTTGGGTGTACTCTTCTTGCTTAACATAATTTTCTGTACTGTAGGAATTCTCCACTTGCTGAACACTACTCGATGCTTCTGGGGCACAATTCATCTAAGCTATCTTGCACATCTACTCTGGGTATAATTAAGCTAAACTTGAAAGTGTGTATTTTGCTTCATTGTCTAGACATACTTTTGTAGACAACTAGCCCCTCCTTTTTAATCTTGGGTAAGAAGTATCCTACTACTTCTCTGCTTTTCTTCTGCATCTTCCATTTTCAGATATGTTTGTTACTGGTTGTAATAGAGGCTTGCTTTTGACATTCTCCTAAGCAAGTAGTGGGCTGATGTGGGTCTAGCTTGCTTTTCACATTAGGCACACTAGCCACACTTTATTTAATGCTTTTGAAAGAACTCTGGGAAAAATGAAAGGGGAAGACTTGGTGCTTGTTGTGCTGCCACTATATAGCTAAAAGTAAAACCTGTGTTGAGTTGTGTGTATTTTGTTTAATATTTCATCACTCTTGCATTTTAAAGATTCATAAACAATTTGCCTGATGATATCAACATCACTATGGAAGACATTTCTTTTGGAACAGTGATGTCTCTTTCTGCCACTAATTATGCCTCCTTTCCAGGAGGAAGGTAAGCATTTTCCTCTACTGTAGTCTAACCACTTGTGCTTGGGAAAAGGACATAGAACTTTTTCATACACATAATTGTATACACCTGTGGTCTGGACTGTGTTTTTTCTTTTTCAGAAAAGATACAATTACAGCTACTAGAAATTCAACCACTTGTTCATTTACTTCAAAGGCATTTGGATTTGGCAGTGCCTATACTATTATAATTAATGAGGTGAGCTGTCAGTGTTGTTTGGATGTACAATACAAAATTACATTTTGTGTTAATATTTCTTTATTAAAGAAAACCCTCACATGTAGAAATATCCTTCTTGCCCTTAATTGTACATACGATACAATTCTGCTGTATTAAACAGAACACAAAAGTATTGTTAACTATAAGAATAATTATGGGTATGATAATGATATAGTGCAAGAATTCATGTTCCTGATTACTAATCTTAAATCTTTAGACACTAAGGTTTTGCATGAAGTCTTCTGCAAAATAACTACTACTTTATAACCACATATGCAGTACTTTGTATACAGCATTTATTACCCAGTACTTTGTGTTTTTTATGTTTCTAGAGATTGTAGAATTGTAGAATAGTTAGGGCTGGAACCAACGTTAAAGATGATCTAGTCCCAACCCTCTTGCCGCAGGCAGGGACACCTTCCACTAGAAGGCGAGTTTGTACAGAACTGCTAGATGATCTAGAACCAGTTGATATAGAAGTGCCTAGAGTGCCTTTAGTGTGCAGACTATCACTGTTCGTAATGTGCTATTTTAATTTCCAGTGCACTGCTGACAACCATAACATAGTGTATTCTGAAGATATCCCACCCAATACAGTCCATATGGCTTGGCAGATCCCTCAGTATTTTATTCTTACATGCGCTGAAGTAGTCTTCTCTGTCACTGGGCTGGAGTTTTCATACTCACAGGTAGGTTTGGCTCTTCAGAACTCTTTTTAAGAGTCAGTACAAAGAAAAATCATTTGTGCTATGTTGTTTTGAGGTGGTAGTTCTGTATTGCTGCTTTGTTTGAACAGTTATGTCCTTTAGAGCTTTTAGCAGGACTATGGGCTGGTGCAAGTTGGCCTTGTTCCACTAGCATTCAGTGTTTTCCATAAAGCTATGCTGAATTACATCATTTGAAGGCTTGACTACCAGTCCTCAAATATTCTTCTCACATGTGACTTTCCATTGAAAAGAATTGGAACTGTAGTTCTGCTGTAAAACCAAACTAGAGTGTACTTGAATGAGTACTGACACATTAGCTCCATACGAATTTCGTCCACACAGTCTCTAGCAGCAGTTGAATTATACACTCTTAATTCCTTGTCTTCCAACACCAGATTTAGCTGTGTGTATTCCTTTAATTCTGAGTCTTTAAACTGCAGTGATGGGAACATTGTGAGATGGGGCTTGCTAGACAGTGATGCACTTGATTTCTTCATTTATTGTGTACCTTGTGTTTGAAATGTGAAATGTGCCTGCTAGTTACTCAGCCATGTACAAAGTGTTTAAAAAGTGTTTATAGTTAGTACCAATAACCTCTTTCTCCTCAAACCATTCTCCAGGTGTGGTTTAGTTCTCTAGCAATTTTTAATTAAAAAAAAAAAACAAACAAAAAAACCGAACCAACCAAAAAACCCCCAAGAAATTCTCCTCCCCCAGAAAGCAAGTGTCTATTATAATGCAAAGAATGCAGTAAACATTAGAAAATACATAATAGCAGCATGTGACTAAAACCTCAATGTCTTGCATCTATAGGCCCCATCTAATATGAAGGCAGTGCTGCAGGCAGGATGGCTGCTGACAGTGGCTGTTGGTAACATAATTGTCCTTATTGTGGCTGGAGCATCCAAACTCAGTGAGCAGGTAAGCACACAAGCAATCGGCACACTATTATATTACATTATGAGAAAGGCTTAGTCCTAAGGGGAGTCATGGCCGGTAATCTTCACCCACAACTTTTGAATATGAGAATTATAGTGGATTTGCATTTATAATTGGAATACAGGTGGTTAGCGTTAGCTACAGGAGAGTACCAGTCAGTTGTAGAATGAGCGCTTGACTGAATAGTCACATTAGAGTATATAAGTAACAGAGTTATAAACCTTTAAGTTGGCTTAAAACCAGTTCAGGAGGCTGCAACAACAGAGTAGTAACTTGTCTCCTATAGCCTCTTCTAAAGTTTCTGTTGAACTTTTTCCCCAGCACTTCCCCAAAATGTGAACACATAGAGAAAACTTTAAACAACTCTAACAAATACTTCCTCAACAAAGATTTCTACCTCTTTTATTTGTTGCTTGCTATTCTTAACTCTTGTTCTGTCAGGCACCTTTGCTTGCAAGCAGCAGTTTCTAGCGTCTCTACGATAAATTGTTCCTCATGGTGGGGAAAAGCTGTGAACTTCTGGGCTGAAATTCTAGACTAATGAGATTAAAATCTACCAAAACTGTGTTCATAACTAACGAACCTCCACCTGCATACCTCAGTCTTGCCACATCCCATCTTCCGGCTCCACTGGTTTCAAACCTCTTTGGGGTTTGAAAGCTGTGGCTTACCAGGGGAAGAGCACTTGGACAAGACTTTTTCAGACTGCTAGTGTCACTCCCTAGTGAACCAAAAGGAATGTCTGAAAGAGGGAAGAACCTGTTGTTGAAACAAATGGGTCTGGCAGTCTTGGTTTCAGCTAAAAACCAGAAAGGGAATGAAACAGCTGTTGAGGCTTTTCAGGTGGAGGTAACACTTTGAAACCAGGGTTCCTGGTCTTCATCTCCACCCAGATTTGTGGCCAGGTGCAACTTTTTACTGCTGACCTAAGTGGAAGCAGGATCATTGCCAGCCTGGTTTAAAATGAGATTACTCAATTAAAAGGAGGGGCTGAGTTTTCTCTCCAGTCTTTTGGTCCATTCCCATGAATACCCTCTCCAGGAAGAGGATATTGTAGAACTTCTCAGCATTCACAGAACTTTTGCCTCTTCAATGAAGACAGAACTGCTGAAAAGGCTTCAATTCTGATTTGCTTTAGCATGTATTATATACGTTTAATACTTAGCCCTTCAAGTCATATAATACTTATTATGTATGCTCAGTTTCACACTCTGAAATAACCTCATTTCTTGCAAACAGTAAAATGATGCAATTCTTTTGAGGAACTAACATTGACGGATAAATTACATATTTTACATTGGTTTTATTTTTGCAGTGGGCAGAGTATGTGCTGTTTGCTGCCTTGCTGTTGGCAGTTTGTGTCATTTTTGCTGTCATGGCTTATTTTTATACCTATACTGACCCAAATGAGATTGAAGCCCAACTTGATGAGGAAGAAAAGGAGCAAGTCAAAAAGGATCAAGATATCTATGAAAAGCAAGCCGAAGCTGTGTCTCGGATGTAAAAGGTGTATTGAAGGAGTGTTTGTCAATAATGGTGTCCCATTAACTACCCCTACAGTCGGGGGAATCGGGGTATCAGTAACACCTCTGGATAATATGTCTCATGGGAGAGGTTAAGAAAAACTTTCAACTTAAAATGCAGCCCGCCTTAGGAAGCAAGAGAAGAAGATTAGTCTCTTGTCTACTGAACACGGTATCCTGAAGAAACTCCAGCAGAATTTGCACTCTTGATGTACCTCAAGCTTAAATATCACAGCATTAAAACATTGAAATTGCACTTGGCACTATTGGACCCTGTGAAAAGATGTATTTTTATATACTGCATTTCAATTTTATATCACAAAAGAAACAAGTATTAACAAGAAATGGTAATTGAAGCTAAGCTGTCCGTGTGATCCCTGTAGCCTCACTGTTACTTGAAAGCCGCAGGTCACACGTGCCTTAAATTCTTTTATACTTCTCTATGAGTAATGGGAGCAAAGCTCTGGCATCGCTCAGATTAAAATGCTGTTTGTCTGCTCCACATGGCAGAAACTTGGATGTGCACTGTAATGTAATGGTTTATGTGCCTGTTAAACTACCCATTTTAATATTAATAAATTTACTCAGGTAAACAGACAATGTCAAATGATGTTGGGAATAAGCAACAGCAATAAAAACTTGTAACAATAATGGAAATGGTGTATGAGTGACCTAAAATTGCATGTTAACAGAACTTGATACCACCTCTGTACTGCCTCTTCATCTGTGCTCCATCACTTGAAGCTAATGGAGCAGTGTCAGTCTTGTTGATCTTAATATACCTGTAACTCCTGTCAAATTTTTAGCAGGGAAGACTAAATTTTTCTGCTTAACAGGATTCTGTAGCCCTGTGGGCCATGTTATGGAGTGCCAGTGGTCTGTGTATAGTTTTGGGAGTTCCTGTGCTTGGATCCTGTTCTGGTTGCTGGCACTTAAACCTCCATGTGTACAGAGAATAGAGTCCCTTACCCATGAGAACAGCTTGAAATGGAGTTTAGAAAGGCAAGTCCAAGGTGCTCTTTGCCTGCATCTCAGTTAGTCCTGTACCCTATAGGCAGTAGCCACTCTTGGTCTCTAAAGTCACCCAGGGAGAGCCTTTCCCATGCCTTCAAGATGCTGGGTGTCCCCCCAGCCCATGGGGCTGAGGGTACCCTGGGACAGCCAACTGCTCCAGGAGGAGCTGGCTACTTGTCATCCTCTGAGGATCTAAGGGGGTTTTGCACCAGCTTTAGTTGTGGTAGACTTAGACAGCCTTTCCCTTGCCATGCAAAATAAACAGTCTCTTAACTATCCCTACATGACAGTATCTTCTGTCTACTATTTTGCTCATACAAGGTGAAATGTTTATTTAGCATTTTAACATTTTTTTCCCCCTTTGGAATGCAGGTCATGTCTATTTTTCTGTCATAAGCTGTTGGAAGTTAGCACTTTAGCAAACCCACTAACTTGTCTACCACTTGGATGAATGTGTGTTATGGGTAGAAAACCACTAATGCTGAAAATTAGATGGGAAAGCTTTCTGTCAAGGAGAAAACAAACTCCCCCATCTTTTCAACCCTGCAAGGTAGTATGGGGACAGTCATATGTGAGACAAGATTTTTATCTCATTTTCAACAGGAATTGGAGTAAGTAAAGTTAAAATATCCATGTGCCTTCTCCTCCAAAATTTGATGTGAAAAAAATCAGGGAACCTTGTATAGATGCCTGGGCAGCTCTTGTCAGCATTGCTTTGATTCTGTCGAGAAGCTGTCTGGACGGAATTGGTCTTTGGGCTGCAATAACGTCTTTTCAATCCCTTAGTTTTGAGGAATAAAAAGGTAATTAAAATTTAACTCTTAAATCTGACTACCGAGTTTTAGATGTTGCTATCTAGACTACCAGCCTGCTGAGAGGATCTGTTGCATATCTTCTTCTGTTACAGAGAAGGTACTCTGAAATAAATCAGATTAACAGTTGATCATTCTAACCTCAGTTCTGATCTAAAATAAAAACTTTAAAAAAAGAAAAATAAAATGTGGGAGTGGTGAATTATGACAGCTTGTTCTAGCAACCAAATCTGCACTTGCGTCTGGCCAGGTAGATACAGGAAGGTGTATGTATGCTTACTAATATTACAAAATATACTGCACAGCTTCCATGTTTTTCCTACTGCTGGTTAGCTCAATCGAATGACACTTGACTTGAAACTGTTCATAGTCAGATTCTCTCAACTACATCAATCCAGTCTGTGCCATTTGCTGTTCTTGAAAATGGGCCTACAAGCAGCACAATCCTTTCAGATAGATAGTTTCAGGCAAATGTCCATACAAAGTTGGGTTTTTTTAAATTCCTGGAGAAATTGCAAGCCACCTATGCATACTGATATGCTACAGATTACTTTTACAGTTCTCATTCATACCTTGAACTGGGTTAGAGTATTGATGATAAAATAACTGAGTCATGCCTTGAAGAGTGAAAGAGAGACGAGTTATCCAAGGGGAAGTAACAGCTCCTGAAACCATCCTACTCCACCAGGAGGTGATTCAGAACAATCAGCGATGCCCCAGCCTGAATCAATCATTGCTGGTTCCTCCTAGACACACCACTGCAGGACACAATTTTGTGGTGTTTAGCACAGAACAAAGGTAACATGGGAGCCTGCACTTCAGTGGATCTCCACTTTCCCATGCTCATTTCTAATCTGAGTCAAAACACTGCATAAACTGCCTACTGCCCAGAGGTGGGTAATAATTCTGTGTCCCAGGGAGTTGATCTGACCACACACAGGGGAGACAGAGGAAAGGAAAATGAGCAAAACAGGACCTGTGTTTTTCGGAGAGTAGTTACGTGCTTACCCGAGTTGGTTCAAATCCCATTTTAAGAGGTTTACGTGAAGACCAGTGGCCACCTGCTGTTGGCACTGACCCCACCACTTGGAAACTCTCAGCAGGCACAGGTCTCCCTTGTGCAGCCTCCATGACTGCTTTGTGGCCTGGGCATAGCTAAGCCACTTGTGCTTTTGTAAAGGGTCCTTTTCAATGAGCTGCAGAGTCCAAAGCCTTTGGTAACGGGATGCCTTGTAAAAACTGCATTACCATTATACCAAACACTGATTTGATGATCCTAACCAGTGTTACAACTGTCACTGACCACATCCTAAAGGAATCCTAATTACTGCAGGTGCTAATTAGATAGGTTTGCCTTTGCCAGCAGAGGTACTGGAAAGAAAAAGCTGGCTTTCCCTGCAATGCCGAAATGGCAATAAGGCCTTCTGAGACACTCATAAGGAGACTATCTGTGGGGAAAGTGGCTGTCTCGATAATGCTATTGTTGTATTTCAGAGGTGATGGGGAAATAAAAATTGAAGCTGTGAAAGCTGCGTATTTAGAAAAAAAAATGAATCAAAAATGATGCAAGAGCTAGGCATGAAACAGAGCGAGGCACTTTCACAGCACTTGCTCACAAGCTGCTGTTGCAGCCCCTTGTTTGGCCCTTTTTGTGTTAGTGGCAAATAAAACCCTCATGAAATTAAGAAGTCTGCTTATATGAAATTGTGTTTGTCATCTTGTGAGATTCAGCTGACTGGAGTGTATGTCCCTGTCAAAGCGTCTTTCCGTCAGAGCCCATGTAGGGCTTTTTTACTTCAAATTGAACATACAGTCTTTACAGCTGGGAAAATACTTTATGCAAATCTGATAAACTTAAAAATAATATAAAAACAATTCAAAAACCCCCAATGCTCCTGAAGCAATCCCATGCTTCCTTGGTAGTAAACCTTGGAAATGTCTTCCGCTTAGATGTGAGTACTGTTTTCTAAAGGTTTTATCTTACAGAATATATTTCACGTAAAGGTTAATTCAATTGGAACAGCTCCTTCAGGCTGCCACTTTACTTCAACAGAGTGCCTGAGCTCAGCTCTATAACCACCTAACTGAATTCATGCTACTGACTGCATTTTTACTGAAATCTGATCCCAAATGTGTGAGTGTAGGAGGGCAACACTGCTGCGTGCCTTTACTAAAGTTAGAGCTGTGTATGTCCCGTGCTGGCAGGTCCTGACTGAGTGCTGAGCCTATGGTTCATGAACTATGAACTGGGCGGGGG